GCTCCAGACCCCACTTCATGGAACACCATGGTCACTGCGGCACTAGCAGGATTGATCGTTGAAACCACGCCACGCCGCGTGACTGGAAAACGGTCCAGGCGGTGAACACCACACATGGACGGTCCGGCTTTCCGAACCCCCGCCGCGCACCGGTTCGAAGGTCGGAACGGTCGTGGTACAAATCTCCGTCACCGTTCCAAGGAGCCCCAAGAGTCTGCCAAGAGAGGTAGCCAGTGACCTGAACTAGGACCCTACTGGGGTACCTATTGGGAGTGACCTGAACTAGGACCCTACTGGAGTGCCTATTGGGAATAGTCTAGTTCGGGTCCTGAGCCACCTCTGGTGTAGCGAGAAGCTCGCTTGACCTCTCCTCGCCTTTCCCGTTCGGTGCCGCGACCACCCCCGATCCACGGTTCCGAAACCCAGATGGGAACCGGGCGAACGGGCATGGACCAGACTGGAAGACGAGGACATCCGTCTGGTGAACCCCGACGGTGGTGAATGTTCATCTTCCGGGGTGTATCTTCTTTGCCGTCTGCATTCCTGACACTACCCTTATAGAGTGGATGGAGAGTATCAATGGCACAAGCTACCCACCGAAAGGTGGTTTGGTTTATATTGGCTCCCAACCATTACATGGACAGATTGACCCGGGTTTTGTTGTGAAGCCCTTTGTATCTGTGTAAGAATAACAGTTGTTCGGGAATTTCAAGCCCTTAAATCCGTGGGCCAGGAAGCCGATAGGTTCAAAACACCCAATGCTGCACACATCATCGAGCGACTGACCGCGCGAGCGTTGGGGCTTCGCGAAACACCACAGAAAACACGAAAGTTCCGTCCGCATCATCCCATGGTAGACCAGAACTTTTGACACCAATCCGTCTTTTTACACTCAATGACCCACCCATGATGGTCTTAATCAATTGAATCAAGTTGAGATCACTATTGACTATGATGTCTATAATTTAGCAAGGATTTGCTATCCAGCAACCCAGGAAAACAGGATAAAACACACAAACACCAAGAAGGGGATCAATTCACCCACACGAAAACTAAACAATACATACAACATCATACAACAATCCCCCGGTGGAGCGAGCTGTTCACATTGTTTCACCAGGTGAGGCGAGCAACCCCATGGAGCTGCCCTCACAGCTTGCCCCTCCGTTGGTTTCCGCCATCTCGACTGCTCCGACCAAGAAAAGTGCATTGCGCTGGGCATGCGCTGGGCCCCCGGACTCCGGCTGAGCCAGAGTATCCTGCAGATTGAACTGTTTGAGGCGAGTTGGGGGCTGCATCAAAGGGTTGAGAGTCCCTCGTCAGTTGCGCAGAATTTTTCACACTCGCCTAGAAGTCCAGTTCGAGCATATATATACCCAAACACTCCATGTATGCCATATATGCCTACATTGACCCCCCAAACCACCCTAATGTAGGCATATATGGCATACATGGAGTGTCTGGGATATATATATATATATATATATCCTGGAAACCCGTATGATCACTTTTTTTTGATCACTATGGCCTCAAGCCGTATTGACCATTTTTTGTGCATATGCCGTATATGGGCAAGGACATCTCTCTGGGGGACTCTATGTTGTATGAATGGGAACTGTATACGAATATGGCCGTATACTTGCCATATTTGCATGCATATTTGGGGGTACCCGTATGATACTAGTATTTTTTCAATATGTTATTGAAAAAACACCGTAACCATATTCCAACATACTAGTGCGAATACTGCGTTGGAACACCCGAATATGGTACCCTATTGAGCCGAGAGAGGAGACCGTATATGCCCGTATTTGGGCAAACCCCGTAATGACCAAAATTAATGGTCAAATGCCGTATGACCAACAAAAAATTGAACATACTCTTTCTCAGGTATATATATATATATATATATGGGCACCAAAGTAAAGGAAGTTCCTCAAAGATCGGGTCGCCTCAAGTCTTGGACTTCCATGGGCTCACCCCACCCAAACCCTTTTTTGAGAGGATATATCATATATGCTGCCGTAGCGACAGTACCACCTGCGGCACTTCCAAAACAAATCCAGAAAAGTCTTCTTGGAGTGTTCATGTGGCTTCACGTCCCAGATCGGAAGTTGACGTCCTTTTCGATGCCTGAACGGTTGTTCACATCCCTCTCCGTTCGAATTACCTTCTAATTACGTTCAAGTGGCGCGAAAGAAGGTGTTCCATGAACAGTTGTGCGGAAGAACAATTCCCGTCCAATCTTACCTTCTATGATATTATGGGCAACAACAGTTGTCCCAGGGGTGCACCAGGTATGCACTACTATGCAGTACTATGCAAGTCTTACAGATTTGAATACGACGATTCCCAAATGATCCATCTAAGCAAATATGGCCTTCATTGGGTGGTGAATGTAAGGTCATACCTGCTTACATGGATCGTCTGTTATTTACATGTCCAGTGGAAGATCATCAGCACAAGGAGCTACAGCAAGAACATATAGCTACACTACCTTGTGACTCCATGACCATCACTAGAAATATCTAGAAACACTATATACACTGGGGAGTTACATCTAGTTACATCTACTAGTATCTACTAGTTACATCTAGTTACTAGCATCTTCTGTAGGTACCATAGCTCCGCACTTCAACAACTTCCCTCCTGACCTGCCACCCTACCCCGCGTGGCCGCCACGGCTCGCGGCGGGCCTCCATAGCCCGGAGCGTGGCTGCTGACCGCCTCAATGGGGAGCCTTGGAAGTGGCACAGAGACCGACGTCGAGCCAGGCCACCATTTTCTTTATCCATAGTTGTAAATAGCCTGAATCCCCAACAACCATTGTTGTACTAATCAGATCTAATCAGGTTTTACACAGTTTATATAGTACTACGAAACCAGATCAACCAGGGTATAGGGACTTGACCAAAAACATCCCAAAGCTGTCTGCGGGGGATTTGAGCCAAGAGTTCCGAGGGGGTAGCCTAGCTGCCACCATCAGTAGCCCGAACACTCTGACTGGCATATCTTAGATGCAAGTTTATGCCATGGAGTGCTTGGGTAGTAGGTAGGCCCCCACTCCAAAACCCCTCCAGAAAGTGGTGGAACTACTCCCTGGGAAAGGTTAGAATACTTCATCAATGAAAAAGTTCCATTCTCTCTGATCTATCCGATTCATCCTGTTCTAATCTGCCTCTGCATGAGAGCTGCTCAAGGAGAATAGCATCGAGTCTTCGAAATCACCTATCTTCATCGCCTGCCCTGAAAACCCTGATTGCAACGTTCGACACATCCACCGCGCAAGGTGAGCGTCCCCCTCCCATCTTCACCCGTGCGTGGACTGTCGCGGCTCAATGAGTCAAGAGCTTCATATTGTTGGAACTTCACCCCGGTTCCCCATATATCTAGCTCATTTTAGTATACTATAAGCTATAGAAGACACTCTCTTCAACCGTTCCAGAGTTCTACAACCAAGCAAACCAGCAGAGGTTGAAGAACCCTATAGACTATCGACCATCCAAAAAGGTACCCAGGTGACGGGTCCTATTGACGGTCACTGAACCTCCCTTGGAACTCACCACACTCACTCCATCTCACTCCTCTCTCAAGCCCTGTGCCCCCCAACACCTGAAGACCAACTAAGTTCAGTGACCTCATATAATTCATATAGGACCCGTCACCTGTACCGGACTGGCAGAGTCGAGCAGGACTCGGCTTCTGACCTACCTGTGTTGGCTTAGGCAACCCTCCCTCCCACCCGACGAGCCCGACTCCTCCGGGTGTCCCGGGCGTCAAGAGCCCGCCCTGCTTGCGGCTCGAGCCCGACGAGCCAGGCCTCGACCTCGAAGTGGGCAGAGACGGAGGAACGCGAACGCCCCTGCTCCCCCCAAAAAGGGTTCCGTTTGCCTTGGGTCCTGTCAGAACGGATCTCTTCTGAGAACGAGGTGGGGCAGATTGTTAATAACAATAGGAGTACGGTTTGAGTGTAGCGAATGGTCTTGTGAACCTCTTCCGGGGATTTCCGGGGAGCGTAGACAGACATCCAGCCTGCTGGCCTTTTCAGGTCTCCCATGCTGACCAGCCAGTCTGCTGGAGACCTCCATGTCACCCTTGAAAAAACCACACAATCCAATCTCCCTAGGTTCTTGAGCACCTTCTTGCCCTAAGTCCCTCCCAAAGGTTCCAACGTGCTCCAACCCTTGCACAACCAGTGGGTGTTCCAATCCTAGCCAAAATGGATGCAAAGAGTTGGACCTGCTTTTGTGGTCAAAGAGTTCCTTTGTAACGCCAGGGGTTCTTCAGAGCGGGGCCGGGACGCCTATGGCCTATGAGGCTATGAGCGACCAGGAAGCCTCACACGAGATCTGCTCGCCCCTCTGAGTTCGCATTCCTGTTCACCCATCTGAGATGCCTGGACGACGAAACCTCCCCAGTCATGCCGAAACTCCCAGCCGTCCAACGAATCCCAAGATGTGGGGGTGTTGATTCATCAACATGTCATCTACCAGTCAGCTGGACCTCAAGGAGGCATGATAAAAACATAGGTTACGTGTTGCTACGAACCAGCGTTGCACGACGGATTTTGGAGTACCAGGTTCTCGCCCTTCTCGCTGCTCACCGGTCGCTGAGGCCCCTAACATGTCAGAGTTGGTTGGGGTGTATCCTTGGCACGAGCCGGCTGGTCATAGATGTCAGCACCCGGGGATTCCAACCATGGTTTTACTTACAGTAGGGTTTAAAACAGCTTGGCCATTGTTGAAATGGCCATTGAAGCCCAGGGAGTAGAGATCCACGCCCTGAACTTCCAACTGCAACCGCCTCGTCCTGTTGAATTCAGAAACATCACGGGAGTGATTTTGGCCGTATCTGGCAGCCAATGCCAGTTCTGACCAGGTTTGGTAAACTTGGGAATGCACCCACCAGGACACCAGGACCTTCCAAGAGGTGTTTGCAAATAGCCTCTTAGAGCTTTAGGAGGTGTCCAAAAACCACCTGTTGGAAGGTCCTGGTACAGGCTAAATGCGATTGGCCCAACTAACCCCCCATTGCCCCAGGAAAAGGTCCCCCGAACCCAGCTTAGCCCCACAGCCCTCCGGCCATGGGTGACTGCCCAGCCAGCTTCGGTGCAACTGTACTGCATCCAAGTGGTCCGCAACAACACTGAGTGTACTTCTGGCTCGGGACTTGTACTTTCCGGCTGGTCCTTAAACCTCTTGGTTTGGACATGTGGAGCTCCTACGGGGCTCGAGATGCGGAGGAGACTCCAGGACATGCTTGGCCTGAACCGTCAAAAAGCAAATAGAACTATACATCCCAGTCATTTGTCCACCAGGTTTGTCTACACATGTCTACACTCCATACGGTATCGCCTGCTTTGAAACGGACTGTCATGCCGAGCAAACATGGTTTTAGTCTTTAACCTCTGGAGCAAAGAGATGCGAAGAGACATGACGTGACGAGGGGACTTAGATCGGGTGTTGTAAGGATCGAGGTTATTAGGAGGTCTTGGGACTTGTAGGGAAGGACCCACTAGGGCCCAACAGGAACTTGTTCCTGGGCTCCCCTCCTCGTCAAATCCAGCAGTTCTGGGGTGTCCAACCAAAACGAAGTGGACACCCTTTCCTGGTCATAGGGTCGTCCAAGGGCTCAACCTGAATCCACCAGGTCCACCTCCAACCCAATCTCCGCCCAAACCCCAAGCGATCCAAGCGACCCTTCTCCGTGGTCCCTGGCGCCTCGGAATCGGCTCGAGGATCGGAATGGTGACGTCCAGGAGCCCCAAGAAGCGAAAAGAGGAGATGAACAAATGATTTGTCCAGGGACGGGGATGACGCCGTCATGGTTTTGGGATGGTTTTTGGGGGGTCAAAAAATGGAGACAGCCAACTTCGCTGTGCACTGGGGTGAAAATAGATCCCTATCATGCAATGTACTTGTACCATCCGATAACCACCCTTGGGGTGCTGGAAGGAAGAGTCTTAACTTATAGGTTTTTCGACCATGCCTGGCAACTCCCCAGTGCTAGGAGGACGTTCAGACCTTCGTGGGTTCTCGGAATCTCTTTCTCAAGCAAATCCTTAGGACAAAAACATCGAGTGCGATCCCCAATCCAGAGTCAATTAACAGCCTCTCAGGACCACCCCCCTGTGTTAAGACTCTCTCGGCAATTTAGTGCCTTTTTGAGAGAACCCACTCCCATATTATGGAGGATCCTTAGTCTTGAAATCTTGAAGCAGGTTGACATTTGCCCGAACAAACGACACCAGAAAGAGCAGAATCATGCGCATGGCCCGCATGGCTCCGCCAGGATCCCCAAAATCACATCCAAAGCCTCCATGGGTTGGTGAAGGCAGGAGCCCCGCATGGCTCCACATCCAAAGCCTTCCGCCTCCAGTTAACCCATATACAACCCCCCACGGAGAACGGGCGGAGATTCTCCGGGCTGGAGAACCGGATGAGGCTGAACTCGCAACCGACTGGCCTCGTCCGGCAGCCGTGTCATGCTGTTGTTGCGCTTCATGCTACCAGACTTGGACCTAAGTCTCGCTGCCACCATCAGGGCAGCAGGGACGGGGGGAGGGAAAAACGCAAAAATTGAGGGGGGGAGAGAGGGAGACGTATTCTGGGTGGGATTTCCCAACCGGGGTTCAATTCGAGGAGTTGTATACAGTAGTTTTGCCGTGGGTCATGGTTTGGTCCACAATGTTTGGTCATGTTTGGTTGGGTTTCTGCACTGGATTTGGCCCAACAGGAGCCAATGTGATGCCTTTAGATGTGCTTAGTCCCATCCAGTGAGTGGATCATGGACACCCCTAACCTCCATGGATAGCACCCCTTTGTGACTGCTGGGAGTGATCCGCATCGTGCCTCATCATTCGATCTCCAACTCACAAAACTCACCCGGGTCACCACCCGCTTCTAACCATTTAGACTCCAACATTGGAAGGACGCACCATGACGCACCGTCTCCATTTGTTAGACGGCCTCAGGATATCTCAACTTTCAACATTATAAGTACCGCCATGACGTTCTTTTGTGCGGCCAAATTGCTTTGAGCGGGTCTCACGCACACTCCCAAACCCACCCTGGAAGCAAAACAAACCAACATCAGTACACGACCACGATCCTCAAAAATTTTCAAAGATCAACATTGACCAGGCCTCTTCTCCCCCAATTCCGCCCGGACGTTGATCTTTGAACAAAGCGGTTGATCAACCATGATCTTCCAATTCCAAACACGACTGATGGGACGGGACTGCCATCTATGCCGCCCCAGACAGACCCCCCTGGCACCAGCCCTGGCCGTTTGCAGTCCGGCAGTCCCAAAAAGGTCACCAAATCTGGGAATTCGCGACCCAAATCCGGGGTGAGGTCCCAAGGCAGTCCCATGCCTTGGTCTGAGAATTCCTCACCCCGGAAGCAAATCAAGGCGGAACACCTTCCGCACCGTTATCGACTCGGTCGTTCTCCGAGGCGCGGCGATTCGGCCGTGGGCATTGGGGAGGTGGGTCTGGAGCCAGGCGTGGTGGGCCTCGGTAGGACCGAAAGCGGGTTCGACCCTTGGTGAAGACTTTGGGAAGACCTGGTTTCGTAGTCGATCAATGGTTGTTTGGAAGGGCCTATTTCAAAAACGCGGTTGGAATCCCAAGGCCACGGTCTAGTCAATCGTCCGTTTGGTGCCCCTCTGGAATGGTTAAAGTTAAAGGTGAAGAGTGTCCAATGAGAGCCTTCTTTGATGGAACCAAACAAATGGCACCGAAGAGAATGCTGCTGGCGCGCTGGGAGTTTTGGGTGGTCATAAACGACGCAACTGTGGGCAAAACCCTCAAAATATGCTGGTTTAGAGTGGTGTATTTATAGATTCAGATGTGTTTAGAGTTTAGATGTTCAAGATTCCAATCATGGATTTGGAGAGAACCTACCCCACAGACCAAAACTGCACTGGCTAAGCAATAGCGTTGAGCTAAGCAATAGCGAGGCAGTTCGTTGGTCGACGAGTTCCACTGGCCAGTGGCCGAGTAGTGTTCCACTGGCTCTTTTTTTAATATCTCTTTGGTCAGCACTATAGGAAAAGTTTAGACCTCTCTGGTCAGCAATGGCATGCTGTAAGACAACACTGAGTGATAACCCCATTTGATCTCTATTCTCCCGTTCCTCATGGCGTCAAACCACTGAGTTCCAAGACTTTGCAGAAGTCCTAAACATCTTAGCCCGAAAGGACCCATCAAGGACCTCCCACCGCAACCGCTCCATCTGGGTCAGTCCTACGCTCCTCGTCTCTCTTGGTCGGTGCAACGCTCCGTCTCTCCTTTTGTTCCGCCGCCCTGAGCGACGTCAGAATTCGCTGAAGGTCCTGGCGGAGGTCCAAAGGTATTGTTCGAGAGGTAGCCAGTGACCGGGATAGGGACCCGGAAAACCTGCATTACCAGGCCCCGGCAGAGTCGAAAGGCGGGTTCTGACCCACCTGGAGTTGCTGTTCAATGCAGTTCGGGAGATCCGAACCGAGCCGAAGGGCCTGGGGTAGTTTTGTTTCAACTGTCCTACTTGCAAAATGCACATCTGCACAGGCAAAAAGAATAGCAAACAGAGGCCTCCACGGCCTCTTTGAAGAACACCACGGAAGAACCCAGTTTCTTCCCCTATGGATCCAAAGCAGAGTTGCGAAGATCTTTGGGCGCTTAGTTCAAGTTCGGCTCCAGTTCCTTGTAAACCTTCCATGGCCTGGACTCCCTCGACTAAAGCCTAGCAAAACAAACCATGCCACATCTCACCTGATCATTGTTTCTTTTTGCTGCTCGGGTCCTATACACAAAAACAGAACCTGATGAAGGACTAACATCAATCACCCTCACTGAACCCAAACCCGAACCCAACTGCCCCCCCCCCACACACACAAAAAACTCCACTAAACCTGTACCTATATAGTTACATCTGAATCTAAGGACTGCACCCTCTTTCCACTGCAAACCATCCCTACAAACCACCCCACCTCACCCCACCGCTGGCTCGCCGCTCCTCGGGCAGAGGAAATTCCGCGCGGAAGGGCGCGCCGTGGAGGTCTTGCAGCGCCACGGTGCGGCAGTGGAGGAAGGTGCGGCAGGTGAACCTGCAGGGGCTGTGGAGCTGCCAAGATCGGACCTCCGACCTAACCCAAACACGACCTGTCAGGACTGCCAGTCCGGACTGCAGTTCCGGCCAGGGGTGCTTGAAAAGGGGGGTCAATGGGGCGGCATATGTGGCAGGTTGGGTGGTACATCTATGGGATGGGCGGCCATGACTCTTGTTGGGGAGGCTGTGATGTGAAACACCTCTCCGTGATTTTGCATGTGCTCAAGCATCCCCAGAGCATCCATGGGACTGGAAGATCTGTCGAAGAACAGGGGAACTCTTTGGGCACCAAAACGTTGCAGGGTCGTGGAGGCTCGAGCCGCTCGAGCAAAAGGCGGGTTTTATTGATGTGTTATGATTTGTTGAACAATGTTGAGCAGGACCCAGCATTGGTTTCAGGGAAAATTGGCAGGAAACTGGTCAGATCGGGGCTCCATCCCGAAGTGCGAATCATCAATGTCTTCGGGTGAATCCGGCCAGGCTGCCACATGGAAAGCACTTCTTAAGTTCCATTTCCTGTCATAAGAAACTCCATGGTGTCAAGACTCTTGACCCTAATACGGACGTATCCTATTGGTCATGTAGCCAACCCTTCAACTCTTCCATACATGGACGGTGCGGTCATTGTGAAGCCCGTGCAAGTGAAACACCCGCTTTGAAGTTCCGCGTGTCCTTTTTGCCTTTGCTTTGACCCAGCAGGAGAGCTATGACCAGGCTGGATAGCTTGAAAAGATCAACGTCAAAGGTCGAAGGCGCATGGTGTGGGGTGAAAACGAGGCGACTCGAGGTTGAACAGCTCAGGTTTTTTCGACCGGAACATCATCTACCAGAAACTCTTGTACCTGGTTTTTCGCCCCCACAAATCTGTGGGTTTCCTGTAGGTGTACTCTGCGAGCCATTCTGGTAACAGCCCTTTCTGGCCCCTGCAGGGTCCTATAAGGTCTCTCGACCTCTCTTGCTTTTTGTTGAAACTGGATGGCAGCACTGTGACATTTACCAGGATGTGCCAAGGATCTTCTTGAAAGTCCTTTCTCTTGATGTTCTTCAAACAACTTTGTGACATGAGCTTTTGCAAAGATCCCGCCAAAGAAGCCGAGCACCCCCAAGAATGGCATCAGTGGTTCATTTTCTCTTGTAAATGATTGATGTCCAACTTATACCAGCTGCTTCCAATGTGGTCGCCGGACAACCCTACACGATAGGTCTCCACATGTCTCCACATCGCTATAGCCGCTATAGTAAAAGAACGTCTCACATCTTCTCACCCCTTTTTTAAGAGGGGTAGCCAGTGACCGTAAAATACCGTAAATAGGACCTGGTAACCTGGAGTACCACACTGGGCGTCGGGTCCTGACCACCTCTTGGTCTCTGGGTCACTGTGCGAAGAAGCAACCACCGCATCGAAGCAACCACGCCACCCACCCAACCTGCCGCCCCTTCGCACGACCGGTCGACCTGCTGGGGTCGCCATAGCTTCGGTCTCCCACCAAGGGCAGTCCCACAGATGCCAGGTGTGCACCTGATCCGTTCCGAGCCGGAGCAGGGTGGAGAACACCATGTGGGTGGTGGTTTTTCCTTGCGGAAAGTGGGCGTGGGGAGTGCTATAGGCCCCTATACTCCATGGATTTGCCTGGTCCAGGAAAGGGAACAGATCCGTCATCTTCCTGGGATTTGACCCAGTTCGGGACAACAAAATCACCCATTCATCCTTGGCTCCAAAGACGGGCTGGTGCACGACGGAAGACCGAAGACGGGAGGATTAGAGAATGCCCCAAGAGGAATTGGAGTGGGTCGACAAAATTGAAGCAGCAAGAAACATGGTTAGATGATGTGAAATGGTCAGGCCTTGGCGGCCTTGGCTGGTAGCTGCTGGAGTGGGGTTCTGAACGGTAAGGGGTCACCATGGTAGTAAGAACACCTTCCAGAGCCTTCCAACATTGGAAGTGCTCACCGTCCAAAAGTTCCACCTTCGTGTCTTTTTTGCGAGAACTGGCCTGTCAGGACCAAATCGTTTGCCAAGGGTTAACATGACAAGGGGTATAGTATGGTTTAGCAGTATAAATATCCTTTACGAAAACTTATGAGCCTATTCAGGGTTCTGCGGACCCTAAGGGGCATACCAAAGAGAGGCCACCTGTGAGAAGTCTGCCACCCAGCAGTTCCAAACAGGTGCCTCTGACCCACTCACTGGATTGGCGAAATTGATGGTCAATTCCTTTGGAATCCTTTGAAACTGCTAGACTCCTAGACCTTGGAATCCTGTAGTTAAACTATGTGTTTAGTATTTTTCTTTTTCCCCCTTGATGCGGAGGCACGGATTTGATGCGTCCGGCCGGTTACTGGGCACACCCGGAGCAAGCACAGCACCTGGCGTTGGGGCTTTGGCTGGCTGCAAATGCAGCTTCACAAGAAAAAACACGCACAACAACCCCTCTCCCCATCCCAAAAAAACCGTCACCCTGAACAAAACCAGGGAAGTGGTTTGAGTTATGAAAACTTGACACCTATTTATTCCAACGTGCTTGCACTATACTAGCTATTATAAACTGGCCCTAAGTAAGGACACGCAGGATGTCCACGCTCCATCAAAGAGCTCTCAACATCTACAAATCCAGAGTTCAAGAGGTCTTGAGTCACATTGAGACCGAGGCAGGTCTTCACACCCAAAAGAAACTAAAGGCCTAGAGAGGGGTCGCGCTCTAGAGGACTATAGAGGTTTTTCTGGCTTTAGATCAGGGTCTCGAGTCTCGAATTCTAGAGTTTGAGAGGCGTATCCCATCTGATCCAGAGAGATCTGGAGGTCTAGAGACTCTAGAGTGGAGTGGTCTAGAAGGATTGAAAAACTGAGATGGATTCTTGAGAAGCTTTGGGCCAGGTCGGCCAGGTGTGAGGGCACACACACACACATGAAAGATCATGAGAGCAGCACAAAAAAGCGGCACCTGCGCAGCAAGGGTGTGCCTTTTGAAGTTCATCACTTCTGAATTTTTGGGGTTCCACGTTCGGAGACCTTCGGTGTCCCGCACGGCAGCGCCCTGCAGCGGAAACCGAAGAGAGCCTGAACTCACGCGGCCGGAAGCAGAAACCTCACACGGCCATCCGGTTTCACACAAGTCGGCCAGGGGCCGACTTGTAAAGCGAGGCGAGTCAGAGTCGGGCGAGTCGAAGAGAGGGAATCAAAGGAGGCTTGTCCTGCAGCAACTCTTTGAGTCCGTCCACGGTGTGGAGGGGCAATTTCAGGCATCCAGGGCGGTTTTCACGACGGTCTTCTTTCCACGAAAGAAATGGAAAGCATCAATGGTGAGCTGTGATTCTTCCTGCCCTGGCAAACCAGTACATGTTTCTTACCTTTATGGCCACTCAACTGAGGTGCCCACCTTGCCCTGGGCTGGCAAACTGGGAGCAGTGGACTGTCCACAGTGAGATGGTACGTCCACCAATGCGGTCATCACCTCTGTAGGGTCTGTCGGCACCATGCTTGGGGGAAGCCAACGGAGAGTTGGCGTCCTGTCCACGGGCCCACTGTCTAAAGAGCTGCACGGTGGAAACACAAGCCCACAACTTCTCCTGGCAGTGGCTTCAGCTTGAAGTACTGGGAGGCCATGGAACTCGCCGTACTTGGGCCAAAGTGGAAGACCCAGTGGAGCAAGGGCCATTGCAAGAAGGACGGGAGGGAGGAGAAAATAATGACAGGACAATTGGGCATTCTATCCTTTTCATTGTTCCATGTGCCTTTCCTCTTCCTTTCCTTTTGCCTCGTTCCTTTTCCTGTCCCATTGTTTTTGCCTTTCCTTTTCTTTTGCCTTTAATCTGTTTCTTGTTCAACTTGTCCCTTTTCTTTTCCTTTCCTCGTCCTTCTTTCTGCTTTGGTGGTCATTGGTCGAGAAGAGCAGTTGGCTGCCCCAGCTGACTTGGAGAATTCACGAAACTTGATGCTCCCAGATAAAGGGCCACAGCTCCTTAATTTGCCACATGTTTCTTGCCTTTCACCTTCACCCGTGACCCACAAATGTATACAAAGTAGTCTGTCATGGCTTGTCCACAACCCTAGCCTTCCAAGAAACAAATCAGAACATGGTTGGCCGTGGTGTTGTAGTCCAAAACCCTTATGCAAAAAACAAACGTTTTGGGTGAGACCATGTTTAATCACTGGTAGGCCAGTAGTCCTACAAACAAGTCCCTTGGCCCTCCTGGATCCCTGACATCTCTGTGAGCCAATCCCAACGAACTTCTTCAGCTCCCAGATGCCACATCATCGGTCCCAGTCGGACTTCTTCAGACTTCAGACTTCCCAGCACTGAAGCTGTTCACCCCTCAGAATTCCTGGCCCTACCATTGGTACACTCCCGAAAACTCACATGGACCCGGGTCCGTCCTGGTCTCCTGGAAGATTGTTTTCCTCTATCAACCAGTGGCTTTCAGGGTCCATGTTAGTCTTCCAGGGTGTAAGTTATTTTTTACAGTGTTGCGGAACAACCATGGGTTTGCTAAGGATTTTAGAATACACCAGGATGCACCTGTTCATCCCCTTGCCAAAAAAACGGCTGCACCTGCGACGCACTGGTCCCAAAGACCTCGATGACTTCATACTCCGTCCGCGCCTCGCCAGTTCAAGTGAGCAAGGATGCGAGGGCTTTGTAACAAAAAACATACCAGCAGTCACAAGGCGGGGTGCTATCCATGGAGGTAGTCGGGGTGCCCCTGTCACATCCACTCACTGGATGGGACGAGCCACACCACCCCATCTTGTGACTGGTGCAAGGATTGAGGGGGAGAGTTGCCAGACTGACAAGTCCAAGAACCGTCAATGAGCCTATATATGATACACAGCCGGAAAAAAGGGCCGTTCTTTCCTGGCCCCGACATCTCCGGTCGCCTCCTTTCCACGTGGATGATTCACCACGCATGGTTCGCCAATGGAGGGGCGTGAACGCTGCAGCCTCGAGCGGCCGGCTAGGGCGACGTGTGGAGATGTACGGCGTAGACTGTTGACTAGTGAACCCATGTGGTGAACCCCCCATTTGGATTGCAACAACCTCTTGAATCATCTTGAATCCACAGTTTGCGTAGACTCTTGAGTCCACCTCTTGGGCATGTCAATGCAGCTCGTGGAGGTGTGGAAAAACATGGAAAGCCCAAGCAGCTGCTCCCAGCCCCTCCGAGCTCGCACATCACGCACTGCGCTCGCTGCCGGGGATGGTTGTAGCTGGTTTGGGGGGTGCTGAACGTAGGAATGCACGCATCACGTCGCACCGTCGCGTCCACGCGCTTCGCAGGGACCAGGGATCAGGTGCACAGCACGACGACGTGGAAACTGATCCAAAAGCTTGGAGTACGCGGGGCTGTTTCCGTTCAGAACCATCAGAACCAGCAGCAGTTTGGCTTAGCAAACCCGCACCCTGACTGTTGGATACATTGAAACACAAAAATTAATTCAATAACTAGCAATAACTGGTTCTTCAAGGGTGGGCCCACATGGGAGTCTGAAATTCACCCCCGGTTCCAACGCTCCTTCACATCCTGTTCAACCCCCGCGCCTGGCGCCTGCTAAGCCTCCCTACCGTAGGGGTGAGTCAATGACCCGGCGGCCGGATCTGGCCGGCGGAGTGCCGCAGCAAAGGCACAGGTATTCCTTGCTCACCTGGAAGCTGCGGGATGCCAACACGCCGCACGGTTGGGGTTGGAGTTCCGGTGGCTGAGACCCTGCTGTAGCCGGCTGTAACTGTAGCCCTACTCATTTGACCGTTGGAGGTGGGCTGAAAACCCAAGGGCGTGAGACTGAGTTCAAGCTGTTTATATCCAACAAGTTCTTAATCAGATTTCTTAGCAGAAGGGTGACTTTGGATCTGTGGCAATGATGCGCCACAAATGTGCATAGATTCCATATATATATATATACTGTATATATTTATAATTAGATCGATGATGAGACCTTCTACATGGGGACCCTCGTACACTCGGCAGCAAGAAATGTGTTTGACAAAAATGCCTTTAACATCTTTAACATGTTGTCCCTACCACTGTCCTACCCAGACACTCCATGGGACTGCCACTGGGACTGCCATATGCCGATCAGTTGGGGGTGGTTGAACAGGGGTCAATGTAGGTAAATATGCCAGTCCCATGGAGTCTCTGGGCTATCCGAACCAACCAAGAGAGGTAGCCAGTGACCTGAACTAGGACCCTACTGGAGTGCCTATGGAATAGTCTAGTTCGGGTCCTGACCCACCTCTGTTGGAAGTTGCCCATCCGAAGCACCGAGTCGCCTGAACCGTCAGACCGAGTCACCTGATCTCCGACGTTGGACGTTGGATGCATCCTTGTCAAGCCCAACATTCAGGGCTTTTGCGGCTGCTACGCTCCCCGGAAGTCACATGGTTACGTGGAGAATGGCCTCGAAAGGAAGACCATGAAATCCACTACAAACAGGTGGTGAACTCCACGTAACCATGTTAGCTCCAGGGGGAGTATACTTCCCGAACTATTTATGCATGTAAGCGGAAAGCCACCGGTTTGTAGAGGAAACGGGTCTTCCAAGGGCCCAGCTTCCACTACTCGATTAGTTCATGAAGTGTAGCCGCAGCCCTTTCTTTTCTTGAAACAGGTGCACACCTTAAAAGGAACTCTTTCCTTCTGACAGGTGGCCGATGGTCAGAGAATCTGCTGAGTGGATCCTTTTCAATGCCCGAGTCGAATCTGTCAGAACGATTGCCCCGATCCGCCTCCGGGCGACTTGGTCAGCGTGACCCCACTACCATCCTACATCCGACATACCCAGCCTGTGAGGTCTCCATGCCACGCTCGCGCTCCAAAACCTGTTCCACCTTCCCACAGCTGACCCACGCCCGCCCACTGCGCCTGCTGCGCGGCAAACTGCGCCTGGAGCCAGGCCAAGCTGCCAGATGCCGCGGAGTCAGACCCCACGGCCAAGGGCAGCACGCCGGAGGTCTGACGATCCAGTCGCGAGACCAACCTGAGAGGTCGGAGGTCTGACAATCCGGGCGAAGAACTCGCGGCGGCCAGTCAGTCAGTCGGGTGCTCAGCTTGGATGGGCGGTCCACCAGAGCCAAGATGAAAAAGGAACAATATGTACCAGGACCCCTAAGGGGTGGTTAATTGACACCCATTAACCTCTAAGGAGCTACTATTGGCCCCTCTTTGGCCCTGGTACCCCAAAAAAACGCCCTGGACCTACATGGAACCTGAAAACAATGTCGGGTCATCGAGGAAAATCGTCTTCCAAAGGTCCATGCCATCAGGTTCCATGTTGATCTTCCGTGTATCTTCTACAACTTTCCAGGGGGAGGACACCCACAGTGGAAAAAAACTGGTGAACATCAAATACCAACAGAGGTTGCCCTAATTCGCCTATCCCAGTCTGGTACCCCAGGTTACAGGTCCTATTTACGGTCGACCTTAACCTCTTGGAAATCCCCGGATCCATCTGGATGCCGCAAAGAACAGCTCAGAGTCTCTAAAGGGTGCACTCACGCTCGCGATCGCTGATCCAAAACAAATTCGGCCCCTGGAGACCAGCGCTCCGAAAGTGGTGGAAGAGGCAATGATTGCTAATTATTGGAAGATCCGTTTGGGGAAGAGGGGGTGGAGTCGTTTGAATTTGTGAGATGTCCAACATGAAAAAAATGCTAAAACCTGAACAGTGAACATCTTCGAGGTTCCCCTTCAAGCATGGAGAGGTTGGCAGTCATCTCATTGTGCATTTGGGGGGCCACCCGATCAAGAGTCCAAGTATTATCTCATACTTTACCAAGAGAGGTTGAGTGACCTGAACTAGGACCCTACTGGGGTACCTATGGGATAGTCTATAATTCTTCAACCTCTGTTGGTATCTCATATTATCCTCCTTCGCGTCAAATCCTTTCAACAGCACGCTGTGTTGCGCATTGACGCGCATTGTGTTGCCCACCGAGCCAAAACCTGGTGGCCATGTTCGCACACCAAGGCGTCTTTCCAAACATTGACATGTTTTATGAAAAAAAACGACACACAACCGCCCACAAGCGTATTGAAAGCCCCATAAAGTAATTGGCGCTCCCCTCAAGAAGGTAAGAAAAGAAGCACCGGTGTTTCCAACCGCCGGATGGATGGTTTTCTTGCTTGCAGTCTCAGCCGCGTGAGCTTTCCAGTCCAACCGGCCGAAGAGGCGTCCGCCTGGAGCAGCTCGGCAGCCGCTTCACCTCAGGCGCACCGGGGTGCGGGCGTGAACGTCGACGGACGTTGGGAGCTACTCGGAAGAGTTCAGGTGCCCAGAATGAAGGTTTTAGCATTAAACGTTGAATACACATATCAAAGCATATCAAAACACACATTCAATAACAACACAATGAAACTAAACACATGAAATCTTACATGAGAGATTTCAAGCCAAGCACGCATCCTCGGGTCAACCATCCTCAGGTTATAAGTACGGCATCTGGCACTAGACCAAAGCCGGTCTCATCTTGGGTGTGAGACTTCCCCCCACCGTCCCCGCCCAGGACAGCTGCGCGGGAACCCTGCCGTGCTGCTACTGACCCCTGCGGGCTTGAAGATCGCGAGCACACCACGGCCCTGGAAAGCCTGGGCAGGGCTGGAGGTGGAGGCTCACGTCCCATCCTGCAACAAAGAAATGGACAAGGTCCCCTGGAAGGGGGTTCACCCAGTTCGGGAAAGGCCAAAATCACCTGAAACAGAAGCAGGCCAAACAGAGTGGACGCTTCAATGCTTCAAGACTGCAAAGCATCAAGGCTCCCACAAGAAGCGAGTCCATGGATCATGATTGGGAGAGGCTCAAGAAGAAAGAGTGATCTTAGTGCACCGTTGCCATGTCGGAGCAAACCTCGAAAAATGGACTGATTATCCTCCGCCACCTCAGGAATTTCTACATCAACACGGCAATTACCTCCGGGAGGTTTCCAGTTATTTCCAGTTCAGGTTGTGGAGAATGCTGCACAACCGGCCACATGAACAACCAGCCACCTACTGGACAACACATGGCAACACTGCTTCGTAGAGGAGACCAACTCTGGGGCCCAAGCACTCACTTTCCATCACTGGAGACCAACTCACTCTATGCGAACCACATCTGTTCATGGGACCCCCCCCTCCATGGTTCGGCTCGTGCTCGTCATCGGCCTCGTACTCGTCATCTCCAGTCCAAGGAAGTTTCAAACTCAAGTCTGGCGGCTTAAGGCCTCCTACAAGAATCACATGGAACCGGGCGACCCGCATGGACCAGACTGGAAGACGAGGAAATCCTCTACAACCCCCAGTCGTTTTCAGGTTCCATGTAGGTCCCTTCCAGGGCGTACATCCCCCCTGCCCCCTACCCTTGCTTCTTGTCCTCCGACCGATCAGGCAGGGCGTGATGCACGCCGACAACAAGGACCACTCCAACCCACTGCGCCCAGAAGCGCCAGGTCGAAGCTTCTCCAAGAGCTCTGGCCTTGGCGGCACGAGAACGCCGGGCGACGGGTACGCCCGTTCTCGAACGGTCGGCCACGGGGTCTGAGCGGATGGGGCTTGGAACCTGCGGGGGGCTTCGACCTGATGAAGTTTGCAAACCTTCCAACAAAGGTTGAAGAACCCGACTGTGCGACTATCCCAGTTGGGTACCCAGGTTTTTCCGGGTCCTATATGATTCGGCCACTTCACCTACCTCTCTTCGTTCCAATGAGAAAGAGTCGCGGAAACCGGGTGTTTGATTGCACATGGAACACACGTAGACTATGCGGAGTCCATGTGCCTTCAAACTTGCAGCTTGTGGGGCACAAACTTCCCACCGCTTAGTTCCACGTGCTCTCGTTCTCCACATCACTTAGTGTCCGAGATGTTGAAAAGCATGTCGTATCTCCTCTCAAAAGGTCGTGAACTTACTTCCCACCCCTTGACAAAAACCACTGAATCACCACTGGGTCACCACTGGATCACCTCTTCACCATCTCAGCTCTGTCTCACTCACTCACTCCTCCCCCCTCCCACGTCCCCAACCTCCGAACCGAGCCGCGGGAGCTCCGGCCCATCAGCCTCCTTGGCCCAAGCGCACCTGGCCGAGGCCAACCCCGGTGGACGACGGAGGATGACGGAGGTCTGCATGTCTGAAGCGCTGGCCAGTCGGCCCAGTCGCATCGGATAAGTTGCATCGCAGTCTATTGATATCTAATCCTATCCTATCCTATCTGTGTTTGTGTGTCTATACCTACTAGCTTGATCGTCCAACTCTGACACATCTCTGCCTTTTCATCCATCAAAAAAGGCCAGTTAGGCAGAATTTGGGCATATGTAGATGGAAGACCCGGGTACATCCAGATATACTTCAGGCAGACAAAAGTTTACGCTTGTTAGCCTTCTTACAAAACAC